CTGTATCCTTAGACATTGTTCCCATTGGTCCCAGTTTGGTCCCAAGATTTAATAATTATAAACTAAAATGTTCAAGTCTGTGATAAGTTATATATGCAAAACGGATGGCTAACGATGAAAACATATACAAATTAGTCAAGTAAAATGCAAATTGAATGTGCTCAGTTACACTTTTTAAATACAATGCTAACTTCGGATATGGCTGATAGGACAGACAGCAGGCTGATCAGAACATGTGTGAATAGCTAAAGGAGAGCCACGGTATTAGCTTAAGAAGGTTGAGCTGGGACATTCTTCTGCCTGAAAGGGTTCAGGCTGGTGTAAAATTGCAAGTTTCACAGCCGGTGGGAAAAGACCTGACCTTGAGTCCAGGATCTGAGAAGCTGCAGTTCATTTGAGAGGGGATTCCCGGAAGCACAGGGAGAGCGGTGAGGAAGAGAGAAAGAGAGGGTAGAGTACTAGTACTGTGTTTCCCTGAAAATAAGATATCCTCCGAAAATAAGACCTACTTACAGGTTTCCTTCTTAGTGAAATATAAGGCATCCCCCCGAAAAAAAGGCCCCCCTTATAGATCAGATAATGATTCCCTCAGGAATGACGGTCTATCTCCAGACTCTTGATATTGCAATAAACAAGCCATTCAAAGACAATTTGCGCATGGAAATTAATGATTACATTGAAAATAGAATAGAGAGAAATCAGCATGGAAACTTTTTAATACCTAAACTGCAAGAAGTTGTGACTTGGGTGAAGAATTCATGGGAGAAAATCACTGACAGTTGCATTGCAAATGCACTGCGAGCAAGCTACCTTGACAAGAAGTTCTCATTTAAAGACAGTGCTATTGCTAAACATGAGAGATTTGGTCCACTGATTCTGAAAGAAATGGAGTCACAAGAAATTCACCAGGAAGTTCAGGAATTGAATTGTTATGATGACGTTCCAGAAGATGATGACATGATTGTCTTTGAGTAAATGAGTAAATTCTTGATACTGTAGGATTCACAGTTTGTCTGGTTTGTGTTGACAACTACTGTACTGCCGTACCATATACAGATAATAAATTTCCTTTATTTTCATTTAACAATAAATGTGTAGCGTATTCTTCTTCATGGAAAAATAAGACATCCCCTGAAAATAAGACCTAGCGCATCTTTGGGAGCACAAATTAATATAAGACACTGTTTTATTTTCGGGGAAACAGGGTGTGTGCACAGCGCAGCACTGTGGACAGCTGGAACTTAACTCTGCGGAGGAACTGCGGGAAAAAGTCTAAAACTCCTGACTCCCAGGTCTCCCACCGGAAGCATGGGTATTTATGCCCTGACTACTATCACGCGTGTGTGTTTTCACAGCAGCGTCTTGGCGTGGGTTCCCTGAGAAGCAGACTTGAAGTCGAGGACTCCAGTTCAACCATTTACCTTGAAAGCAGTAAGAGAAGAAAGTAGTGAGGGGGCAGTGATGTGAGACAGGGAAGGAGAGCCTGCGCTCGGTGTGTTAGCTCCTGGCAGTCCTGGCCTGCCTCTGGCACAGGGCAGAGTGGCCAGCCAGTTCCAAATCCCACAGACGCAGAGGTGAAGAGTCCACAGGTGGAACTTGTTCAGAGCACACCCAATAGTCTTGAGGCAGGACAGAAAGAAGTGAGGGGGAAAATCCCAACAAGTGGGATGAGGAAGTAGGGACGGAGCCCTTTCCTCAGAGCCCCCACCTCCACATCTGACACTCCTGCCGTGGTCACCAAAGTCAACAACAGGAGCTTGCTACTGTCAGATCATTCGAAGGTGGAAATAAAAAATTGACCAGGGGCCGACCCCCAAACTCATTATATCAGCATTATAATGAAAATCGACACTACAAGTAGAAGGGCGTGGCTAAGGAGGACCAATACAAGAACAGACCATATTAGGAACAAGACCCCCACCCAACCCCAAGGTGGAGAAAGAATTTGGTGCCACAAGGTTCAAAATCCGGGATCACGTAAAATCCCAGGAACTGGCCGTGTGCACAACTCACTCCAGCTGGCCTGCATCCACTTGGACATGCACTCTTGCTTCTTTCACAGCAGCGACCCGACCCTGACATCTCTCTTTCTCTCCCTGAATAAAACTTGCTTTTGTTCTTACTCTGACTCGATCTGGAAACGTTTTCTGCGTGAGTCAAGAGCCTGGAGGTCTCCTGACACGTGAAAGGTCCGGGACCATGCCAGGCAGGGCCAGTGCCCCGTATTCCCGGTCTGGTGACAGTCCTAGGGATATGCCACTGAGACCCCATTAAAAAGTGCTAATCCAATATGTCGTTGAAGCAAAAAAAAAAAAAAAAAAAAAAAAGGACCATGTATCTAGTGTAGTAAAACCCACTGGAGTTTTCAGTCAAAGCCATCTTACCTGTTACCTGGGCAAGCAAAGAGGGTGGGAGCTGGGTGCTGGGTTAGCTCCTGATGAGTTTTAAAACTTGCATGAGCTTGGGCAGGCATAAAAAGGAAACCATGTCACCTATCCTAGCTCTCTCATCAACTTAAAGGAATAAAATTAGAAGATATATATATATATGAAAATCCTTTGAAAAAAAAGCACTGGACAAAATACAAGGTATAAGGCACAATGGTGTATGCCCATCTGAACCAAGAATTTTAGTTCATATTTTAGAGAAATTATATTTCCTTTAACTTGAGACTTTCATCAGAAAAAAAAAAAAAAAAAAAAGCAAGAACAGGAGATCATAGAATTTTCTCTGGAGCCTCATTCTTTGTTGTTGATAGGAAGATGGCAGCAAATGTGGTGATGACTCTTTTCTTAGACATAATGAGCTGTTGATTATTTGTGGATCCATCCTTGCATTATTTGGAAGGCTACAATAGTGCTCCCTGGTGAAAATATCATAATCATCTTTGTGTCAGTGAACATAAAACTGGATTTTCAAAAATAAACAAGGCACAGAAGATAACACAAGTTTCCTCATTTCCTTAATGTAACATCCTTTTTTGAGATCAACTAATTTTAAGTAAAAATATTAAAGGCCATAGAGAGAAATAGAACTTTTTTTCAGCTCCCATATCTCCATGGGCTTTTGCTAAACAGGGATATACTAGATTATGTGTGTTTTTAAGTCTAAATTTTAAATGTTGTTCTCCCCATAAGTTTCCAAAATAGAAACTTTCCATTCATTCTATATATATCTTGCACGATCATCAGTAGCCTCAAAGCTTCTCAGGAACACACTGGAAAAGACTATATCATTTCAACTTTATATATATATATAAATATAAATATAAATATAAATATAAATATAAATATAAATATAAATATAATATAATATATATATATATATATATATATATATATATATATATATTGATTTCAGAGAGGAAGAAAGAGGGAGAGAGGGACAGAAACATCAATGATGAGAGAGAATCGTTGATTGGCTGCCTCCTTCACATCCTACACTGAGGATCGAACTTGCAACAGGGGCATGTGCCCCAATCAGGAATTGAGCCATGACCTCCTGGTTCATAGGTTGGCACTCAACCACTGAGCCAAAGGGTGCAAGGGGAGAGGGGGGCAACTTAAAAATTTTTAGAACTTACTCTGTACCTGGCACTGAATTAAGTACATCATATAGATCCTAACATTTAATCTTCCCAACAATTCTTTGGGTTAGAGACTATTTTTTATCTCCATTTTATACATGAGAAAATTGATCCATAAAACCTATTTAATACCACTTTCTATAAGAATTTATACATTTGAAAATGGCAATAATAAATTATGACTGAAGATTGCCTCATGCTGAAAAGTTCCCTTATTGCACTCCAACATCTCTTTGTTAGGAAGCATGGGCAAGTCAGCCTTCACTATTAAAAAACAACGGCCTCAAATCTCTCTTTTGGGAAGAGTACAGTCTTCAGTGCAAAAAGGAAACCACCTCTGCATCGGTGGCTGGACATTCAGATGAGCTCTGTGCACTCGGTTTCCATCAAGAGAATGATGGCACGTGCTATTGTTTAGATTAACAAGAGCTTTCCCACCACCCAGTGTGTTTCTCTTTCTTTCTTTCTTTCTTTTCTTTTCTTTTTCTTTTTTATTTAACAATCTTGATATATAATCTTGCAGAAAGTGGAACAATTCAAAATGCCCAGATTTTGACTTGGGAAAACTCAAGAGGATGAAAGGCCAATCACAAAGAAATAACAATTGCTAACAACAATGACCAACATTTATTGAGCACTAGAGTAAAGCTCTTGACCTGGGTGATCTCAGTGAAACTTCACAACTCCTCTGTGTAGGTGTGGTATCACTATGGTTCCTATTTTACAAATGAAGAAACCCTGGTGTAGAGAAGTGAATTAACATACCTTGCCTGCATCTGTCTGATTTAAGGCCCGATACATTTAACTGCAAAGATACCCAGGAATGCAGTAAGATCTCATTAAATAAAAATACCAAAGTTTGAGATTACCTAATTTCACTTGGTGAAAATCCTGATACATACAATGTTTTAAAATTAATTTTGTTATTTCAGATGGGTAGGAAGAAATTTAGTAAGTAAAAGTGACTTTGATAGGCCGGTACTATTGCAAAAATAATACTTTGCGAACGACATAAACACAGAAGCACCAACTGGTAGGATTAAAACTTAAAGGCATATAGAACTTCTTGAGTTACTGACTTGAAAAATTTACTCATTATAATTATGTTTGCATGTATACGTAAAATCATTAAATATTACCAATTATTTCACCATAAACAATCTAAAGGCAGACATTCTGAATTTAGGAAATCTTAAATTGCAAGGCCACTACATTTAACTAAACTAAAATTTTAAAATTTAGACTATCTGAGCTCAAGGATATGTGCACAATGATTTCATTAACCATGGGGAGAACCTATACCTTTAAGAGAATTTCAGAAGGAAATATAAAATTAGTTCCATCGCTTAGGAAATCATGGTTGTGTATAGGCATGGATTTAATTCCTGACACATTCCTGTGATAGCCTCTGTACCTTGACTTCCTTGAAAGCTTAGGTCTCGTGGTTGCTCCAGAACGTCATCAGGATGTGGGTCGCAGAATCCATGGAAGGGCCCCAAGTCAAAGCACTGATGGAGGAGCTCCATGTTCACTCTTGAGCACACGCTCATGAACCCAACAGCTACACCTTCCACCTGAAACATCCAAAATATCTACTTACTCTATCAGTCCTCAAATGAATTCTCAGCATGGAACTTTCATGAGTCCATAGCATAGTGGGTGATTGGACCAACGTAGTTTGGCAAGTACTTTGAGGCATTTGAGGGAGGGAGCAGTGCTTTCCTTCAGCAGCTCTAGTGTCTAGCACAATGCATGGCACACACAACACACTCAAAACAATCCTATATAATATTAATAAAAGCCTAATATGCAAATTGTCCCCTCGACCAGGAGTTCAACTAGGAGTTCGTCTGGGAGTTCGACCAGGGGACGGGGCCAGCAGCCAACTGTGGGAAGGGAGGCAGGCCCCTGCTGGTGGCAGCAGGCAGCCAACAGAGGAAGGGAGATCCTGGCTGGCAGCTGGCAGCAACTAGGGATCCTACCCCTGCACAAATTTTGTGCACTGGGCCTCTAGTGTTTAACAGGTGACTGTGGTCAGCAATCCTAGAAATGGATACCTAACATAGGGAAGTTGCCAGAGAGTTCTTGAAGAAAAACTATTTGGAACTTAACATGTGCCCTCTTGGCCCAGGCAGTGCCCCTCCTAGCCCATATCCTTTGCATTATCCCACTGCAAGCCTAGCCTTCTGTCCACTCTCCTCCTTGGTACCACGCACAGTTCTCAAAGACCAGCCATTGTTCCCGTGTCCATCTGATTGACTCCTGATTCAGAGAAAAGTTCATGGTCACTCACTCCTTACCAGGTAGGAACTCTTTGATTTTCTTGAATTCATTTATTTGCTTAGATGGTCTCATAGGGAGGAGAGGTGAGGAAAAAGGTTTGGTGGAAATGTCTGAGCAAGGTAAACTCGTGAGTCTAATCTAAAAATGCATCTATCACCTTCCAGCATCATAATAGCTACCTGTGTGAACCTCTTACAATGGTCCCCATGATCTTAGGCCTTTGATGAGAAAGACACAGGATTAAGAATGTGATAGTGTTATATAATAAGAAATTTATATTTGGTCTTCATCCCTGATCCAAGAGCAAGCTCCTAAAACACTTGCAATTTTCTAAAAGGCGCATCTTAAGTTTTTCATAATAGCCTGTTTCAAGGATACCTGAGTTTATGCTAATAAGGTGACTCTGAAAATGGGGGCTAGTTGTCAGAGGAACGAAACCTGTGATTTGAGGGTTGGGACTTTCAGTCCCACCCCTGACCTCAAGGAAAGGGAGAGGGGCCAGAGATTAAGTTCAATCACCAGTAGCCAATAATATAAACAACCATTCGTGGAACCACCATAAAAACCCCTAAACAACTGGGTTAAGGAGTTTTTGGTTTAGGGAACTCACTGAGGTGCTGGGAGGTGATGTGCTCAAAGAGGGCAAGAAAACTCACCCCTCCCCCCACACACACACATACACCTTGCTCTATGTATCTTTTCCATTTGACTGTTCCTGAGCTGTATCTTTTTTTTTTTTTTTAATTTTTATTGGGAGAGAGAGAGAGAGAGAAAGAGAGAGAGAGAGAAACATCAATGATTAGTTGTATCCTTCGTGCCCCTCTATCAGGGAGGGAGCCTGAAACTCAGGCTGGAATTGAACTGGCAACCTTTCGGTGAATGGGATAATGCCCAACCAACTGAGCCACACTGGCCAGGGCCCGAGTTGTATCTTTTAAAATGAACTGTGGTAGTAATTAAAACATTTTCCTGTGTGCCGAAACCAGTTTGGCTCAATGGATAGAGCGTAGGCTTGGGGACTGAAGGGTCCCCGGGTTCAATTCCGGTCAAGGGCATGTACCTTGGTTACGGGCATATCCCTAGGGGGTGTGCAGGAGGCAGCTGATCGATGACTCTCTCTCATTGATGTTTCTAACTCTCTATCTCTCTCCCTTCCTCTCTGTACAAAATCAATAAAATATATATTTTTTTAAAAATTTCCCTGTATTCTGTGAGCTGTACTATTAAATTAGTGAACCCAAGGAGGGGGTTGTGGGAACCCGATTTGTCGCCAGTTAGGAGTATAGGTGGCAGTCTGGGGCTTGTGACTGGCGTCTGAAGTGGGAGCAGTCTTGTGGGTATGAGCTCTAAAGATGTGGGTCTGTGCCGACTCCAGGTAGTGTCAGAACAGAGCTGCAGGACACCCAGTGGTGCCTTGAGAGCTGAAGAACTAGTTGGTATGGATGGAAAACTCATTTGGTGTCAGAGGGCTGTGATTAGAGGAAACAAGTTATCTTATAATGAGTAACAAGCTAATCTGCACCTATGATTGGTACTAAAATATAAATTAACAAATTTAATTCTATCATATTCCACATTAAGAGATGACTGTTGTTGAAATTCTTTATTTTATCTATTAAATAATTCTATACTTCATTCTTCTCCATAAGATAAGCATTTAAAATTTTAAAAGAGAGTGAGAGAAAATGTATAGTTCCTTGGTTAACTAATCTTATTGTGGTAATTATTTTGTAATATGTACATATATCAAATCATTATATTGTACAACTTAAATTTATACAATGTTATATGTCAATTATATCAGTAAAAGTGGAAAAAATAAATTTCATATAAATAATTTCTGCTGATTATTACACGGGTTTGAAGCAAATTCTGGTTGACTGGTTTGACTGCCAGTTCTTAATAGAAACTAGCATTTATCCCTCAAGTTTTTAGCCTATTTTGGGAGATAAATATTCCACTTAAAAAGTAGAACTCAATATTCATAGGCATTCCCTAGTCCCCAAAATGTAGCATCATCCAATGCCCATTTGGAGAAAATGATTAATATTTTAACACAATTTCAACTGGTGTGCCACAAGAATTTTAAAAACATGTAATAATTGGCTATTTAATCAGGGTCACTTACCTCTTTTCCTTTTAGATTGACAAATTAAAAAAAAAGAAGAAAAAAAGGACAACAACACTGACTGGTGTGGCTCAGTTGGTTGAATATTGACCAGTACACCAAAAAGTCACTGGTTTGATTCCCAGTCTGGACACATACCCTAGTTGCAGGCTTAATCCCGGTAGGGAGTGTGCAGGAGGCAGCCAATCAGTGTTTCTATCTCTCCCTCTCCCTACCTCTCTCTCTAAAATAAATAAGAGTACTTTTTAAAAAATGACAACAGCCAACACAGCAAAAGTGGACTGTTGTGAATGCTCTGACCCAAACCGTAAATATATATTAGATCATATAATGGAATCACATCTTATTGGTCATGTCACATAAGATTGCATCTTTTCTTCTTTTAAAATATATTTTATTGATTTTTTTACAGAGAGGAAGGGATAGGGACAGAGTTAGAAACATCAATGAGAGATAAATATCAATCAGCTGCCTCTTGCACACTCCCTACTGGGGATGTGCTGACAACCAAGGTACATGACCTCCACCGGAATCCAACCTGGGACCCTTGAGTCTGCAGATCAACGCTCTATCCACTGAATCAATCTGGTTAGGGCAAGATTGCATCTGATTAGTTAATTCTTGGTACCAGAACTTCTTATATACAAGTATTGGCACCCAATTTTTTCTTTTTTCTTTTTTAATATATTTTATTGATTTTTTACAGAGAGGAAGGGAGAGAGATGGAGAGATAGAAACGTCGACGAGAGAGAAACATCGACCAGCTGCCTCTTGCACACCCCCTACTGGGGATGTGCCCACAACCAACGTACATGCCCCTGACCGGAATCGAACCTGGGACCTTTAAGTCCGCAGACCGACACTCTACCACTGAGCCAAACCGGTTTCGGCGGCACCCAATTTTTTCAAAAGTCACCTTGGAGCAAACAGGGTAGGTAATTAATATTATTATTATTTTTGGTAAATCATTCAAAATTATACCTATATTTTTGGTCAGATTAACAAGTATATTTTTTAATGTGCCACATAATTTTAGTAATTAGTTTGTGTGTCATGAGATGAAAAAGTTGAAAATCATTGTTTCAACCTACTAAAGCAGAAAATTAAGCTACAATAATACTTAATCTTTTAAATGGCACAGAAAAAATAGGTATTAAACTAATGTTCTCAAATGTGCCTTCTAGTTTAAAACCATTTGTTTGCAAACATATATTTGAAAAATACATGTGAGATTTCCTTTATTTTTCTCTTTAATGCTAAAATATAAGGGGATGATTGGAAAATTAATTTTTCCATGCATATTCTTTTCTTTACCAGCTCCCCAAAATGATACCAGCTAACTGTAAAAGGCTGAATTTACACAGCTGTTTTATAAAGCCATTGACACTTTAATAAAAGTCCAAAATAAACATTTTAATTTTTTCCCCAAATAACAAGCGATTGTTTGTCTTGTTTGCACTCATGAACAAAGGCTGGGTAGCTGCAGTTGTCTGGCTTCTCTGTAATTGTAGGCCCAAGACTCAGCAGACGCTGATTAACCAATCCATCTACCATATGTGCAGAGAGAGGCGGCCAGCCTCCCTCTCGGCAGGGAAAATTGGCATCCATCTTGGTTCACATGGAGATGTCCTTCTAATCTGCAGCCACGCTGGCACAAAGAAACTTCGATGGCCTGAAATACCTTTCGCTGGCTTCATGGCGAGCTGCATGCGCATGATAAGAATGTATTATTTATAAGACTGCTGTTAGTAATGAGCTATTACACTAATGGCTCATTGTGTTTGGAATTTGATTTCAAATGGCATGGATCACACATTCTGATGAAAATGAGAAAAACATGTTTTGCCATTAGGAACAAAGATTTAACATTCTCCAATTCTACAACCTGTTATAGTCCCATCATTCATCCCGGGTTGTGACAATTCACAAAAGTTCACAATTATGGACTGCTACCGAGCAAGGACATACTGTGGACGTGTCCGCTGTTTCCTTTGAGTTTCTTTCAAATAACTACTTTGATTTGAGAAACACTGCTCTGAATTATGAATCTGTGGAAGTGTTCAAATGCACCTTTTTGTGAGTATGTTTTCTAAAAACAATAAATGGGGGTAATGGACTGTTTTCACCTGTACAGTGAAAAGACGTTGATTGCTGGCGGCTGCC